AAGTTATTTATTCACTCTGAAGATTCAATTTTATTCCCAGGAAAAAAAACGTGAAGAGTAATAGTGCTTAATTATAGGATATAATTTAAAGTTTAAAAATGTTTATAAAACTTATCATAAGCCTAGCTCAACAGATGTTAATTATTAATATCCCTAACTTAATGTTGATACAACTGCAGCTCAACAAAGATAAATTACTTGTTTTTGGTGACACAGTTTATGTACATGCAAGCAAAAACTTGGTTTTAGACTCTTTTACCATGAATACATACTTCCTGAACAAAAATGTGTGGTTCAAAACAAGAACACATTTTCTAATCAGTAGACATAAAATATAGTATGTCATTGCATTCAAAAATGATTATACTGAACTTTATATTCAAAATCTTTTGCTCTTCACATCTCACTGTTGGAAAATGAAAAGTCAGGGATAATTTAGAGAAAATATTTGCGAAACACACAACTGTCAAAGAACCTATGTGCAGAATATATAAGGAACTTTTTAAACTCACTGGAAAGAAAACAAACCACCAATAAAAAATGAACAAAATAGTGGAAAGATATTTTACAAGGAAAGATATTTTAATGGGCAATATGCATATGCATGTGATAATATGCTCGACATCATTAGTCATCAGGGAAAATAACAGATTAAAACTACAGTGAGATACCACTCCACACCTACTAGAATAGCTAAAATTAAAAATTTTGCTATCATTTTTGAAAGTGCTAAATGTTAGAGAATGCAGATCAGAATAAATCCCTTGAGAGGAAAAGACAAGATAAAATTCTGAGTAGCTATGGAGAAATTAACTTTTGATAAATGTATGTTCATTTTAATAGGAAAGATGATAGGCACTAGATGAACAGAGTAGCTATATATAATTATATTTATGGTACAGTGATAATCTCATAGTTCTTGATAACATATAATTTCTTGGGGATTATAGAGCTAGGGCTGGGTCTGGAGCTCCCAGATCCCTCAGGCCCGTTGTCCAGACTGGGTCACAAACCCTTCACGTGCAGGTCCATGAGCTAGGTAACAGGAAAAAGGTCCGTGGAGCCATGGGTGAAGAAACAACAGGCTTTATTTTTAGATGCAAGCTCTGCCAACCAGCAATTCAGAGCCACTGTCTCACATACTAAAGAACACACAAAGCCAAGAGATACATGGGCGTGCATTCGTACTAATTCTACTCTCA